CCCTGAAATTTATACCACTGAAAGAACTTCAAGTCTAGTTTCAAACGCAATAAACGGAACTCATTTTGGATTTTTCTACACCAAGATACAATAGTGTTTCAAAAGCTGGTTTTTGAAACCTGAAATATGAAAATTCCCGCAAACCTACTTGTGAAACCTTTCTCTTTTCCTTTTGTTTAAAGCCAGCTTAATTGCTTCCGATCAAGGTGCATCTAAGGCCATCGTTTTAGCAAGATTTTAGCTCAAGAAGAGGCTCCAAAAACTAAAATTTTTTGCTCAACTTTCGGCCATGAGTATGGCCTCAAAATCAGAATTTTTGAGCTCCAAGTTGGAGCTAAATTGGGGCTTTTAAAACCAGAAATTTTAGTCTATGGTTGGAGTTAAAATGACTCTCTAAAACCTGAAATTTTGTCCTCAAAGTCTCGGCCAACAAGAGGCTTTAAAACCTGAAATTTTAGCTATCTTTTTCAACCAAAATAATGGCTCAAAAACTGAAATTTTTAGCCTCGATATTCGGCCAACTAGTGGCTTTGAAAAGCTGAAATTTCTCTTACATTTTTCGGTCAATAAGGAAGGTGAATTAAAATGAGACAATGTACAATACAGATGCAATTAAAATGAATGAAATAATTTAATTGGGGCAAATGAATAAATAAATAAATAGATAGACCAGTAAAAGAGAATTTCGGGTTCTCACATTAGTGACTTCTTTTGTATGCAAGAGAGAGCTAAAAAATGAAATAGGTAAAAAAATCAAATAAATTGTTCTTGATGGCAAGTTTTGAAATAATTGTTTGATTATTGTGAGAATTATGGGCCCAATTATGCGATTGTTGCGTATTTGTGATTCTGATGAAAAACCTTTATTGGATTATGTATATGAAAGCATGTGGAGAGTTGTTAATGGCATTAAAGAGTTGTTTAAGAACAAAAAAAAGTTCTATGACCCATACATTGATATAATAGATAGGAGATGGGATAAAATGTTGAAAAAAAATCTTCATGCAGCTCCTTTTTGGTTGAATCCGACCTTCCAATATGATAGGGACAATCCTTGTTATATGCCTGAAATTATGAAAAGTGTTTTAGAAGTCATGCAAAAGTTGAAAATGGATGGACTTCAACACATGATGGATGAAATATCAATGTTTAGGTCAAAGAATCAAAGTTTAGGATTTCAATTTGCCCAAAATACTTACAAGACTGCCCATCCAAGTATGCCTACTTTTAATTTCACATTTATTGCATTAATTGATAAAAATTACTTTTGTTTTTTTTTAAAAAAAAAAAGAGTACTAATTGTGTTTTACTAATATAGATGAGTGGTGGAGATTGTTTGGTATTAATGCTCCACATTTATAGAAGTTGACAATTAAACTCTTGAGTCAAACTTCTTCTTCCTCGGGATGTGAACGCAATTGGAGTGTATTTGAACACATCCATATCAAAAAGAGGAATAGACTTGAGCATCAAAGATTGAATGATCTTGTTAACATTCATTATAATTTACGTTTGAAGAATATGTATGAAATTACTATTACACATGCTTATTTTCTTTTGTAAATTTATTAATTTTTAAAAATTTCTTACTCCTAATTTTTCATCTTTTTTTCATTGTAAGCTTTCATATAAAAAGAGATCTTATGATCCGGTGGATTATGAATCTATTGATAAAGTTGAATTTTGGATAGTTGACGAGAACAAGAAGGAGAGTTTGATTATAATGAGTTAAAAGAAATGATTGAAGAAGAATTTCTCAAAACTGGTGAAAATGGACTCTCTCAATCACGTAAGATTATATTTGCTAACTTTATCTAAGTTTCTTTTTAGTTCTTGTCTATTTTTGAATATTTTTATTTATGAGTATTTAAATGATTTGTGGGTAAGAAAGACACAAATATTGTGCAACTTGATGATGAGGATGATCTTGATGATATCAACTTGGAAAGTTATGAAATTGCAGATAAGGATAATGAAGATGAAGATGAAGATGAAGAATGGCTTAGATAATTCTTTACTTTAAAAATTAAACATGTTGCTTTGTTTGAATTGATATTTATCAAAGATTGAACATGAACTTATTGTCTTATTTGGATTGCTATTTGTCAAGGATTAAACATGTATGGGATTTCTATTTTGTAAATTTTGTGAGTTTGGATGAATTTAGTGAATTGTTTGCTGAATTGGAATAAATTTGGATGATTCGATTCTATATTTATATTTTGTAAATTTGATTTGTAGGGAAATAAAGATATATATATATATATATGACGATTTATGATGTCATCCGGTTCGACGTCCTATCGATTCCGGTCGAACCCATTGACCCCTAAATTCGGCCAAGTTGACTCCCGATTCGAGTCTGAAAACATAGAAAAATATATCCAACACTAACATAGACATTAAATATTTTTCACAACCTGATTCCCAAAGCAACCCCAAGTTTATGAGATACTATTATTGTTTGGAATAGGACTGCAAACGAGCCGAGTCGAGTCGAGTTTTGGACTAATCGAACTGAGTCTCGACTAAATTTTACCAAGTTCGAACTCGAGCTCGAGCTCAACGAGCCGGCAATTTAAAGTTCGAGCTCGAGTTCGAATCAATTCGAGTCGAGCTCGAAAAAAAATAAAAAATAATTATTTTATTTTTAAAAAAATAAATAAATTAATATTTTTTCTTAATAAATAATAAAATATTAAGAATATATATGTAATTTTACTATTAAAATAAGAAAATAAAAAATATATATACTTAAAATAAAAAATATTATATAAATATACTCGAGCTTACGAGTTTAATATTTTGAGTTCGAGTTCGATTTCGATTGCAAGTGGCTCGCGAGCGGCTCGATTCGTTTGCAACCCTAGTTTAAAACCATTAAAAAGAGGATTTATAGAGGGATGTAGGCCACTTAATACTCTAGATGGCTATCACACTAAGAGGCCATATCTTGGTCAGTTGTTGAATGCTATTGGGGTAGATCCGGACAATGGTTGGGTAATAGTTGAAAAGGAGGCTCGAGAGCAATGACATTAGTTTTTTACTTTATTAATTGATGATCTAAAAATACCTTATAGAAGTAGTCAATACAATTTCATTTTAGACCAACAGAAGGTTGGCATTGTTGTACTTTGCTACTATTGTATGTATGTTTCAGTCATATTTTTCTAGGTGACTAATATTTAACAATACCCGTAAAGTCTTGACAATGCATTACTTAACCTATTGCCAGAATTTGAGAACAGATATTGTGTGCAACACATTTACAAAAACTTTAAGAAAAAACACCTTAGTGAAGTACATAAAGAGAGATTTTGGAGCATTGCATCAGCATCAATCGTGGGGTTCAACGAGGTAACATTGGAAGAGTTGAGAGAATATGACTAGCAAGCTAATGCATGGGTCAAAAAACTTGCACACCTCATTACTAGTGTAAATTTTTTTTTCATTTTATGTGAAGTCTGACATGCTAGTCAATAATTTATTTGAGATATTTAACTCTCATATATTAAATATTAGAGAATTGCTTGTCATTGGGACGGTTGAGTGGATTAGATAGTTCATAAAGAGAAAATAGAAATTAGGGTTGAATCGATAACAAAATGTAGTGGTCCTATGGGACCAGCAATAAAGACTTTGATTGAACAAAGAGAAAAGCTTTCTAGAAAATGGAAATCAATATCAAATGATAAAGGGGATATCAAGTTAGGGGACCCAAGAGGAATAATTTGTTGTATACTTAGGAGACAGAACATGTACAAGTGGATTGTGGCAAATTAGTGGGCTTCCCTACTGCCATGCAAGTTCTACCATCGTCAAAATTGGTAGGGACTCAAATAACAACGTAGATCAGTCTTATAGTAGAGATCTATTATTTCAAATATATAAAAATATTCTATATCCAATTCGTAGCAAATTTCTATAGCCGTAATGTGATAGTCCCATATTGGATTCTCCATTTGCATGTGTTTAACGTGGTAGGCCAAAAAAATCAAGAAGGAAAACTAGTTTTGAAAATAGAAATGGTGTGCTTGTTGGAAGGAATAATGTGCAAAAATTAAAAAAAAACATGTGATCATGCACCGTAGAAAATATGGCTAGGCAAGTCATAATGCTATTACCTGCAAAAGTGTACTAGAACAAAGAGGTGAAAATTGCAATCAACTTGCTTCAGCTCCTAAACGTGCTAGAAAGTCTACTAAAGATAGCAAAAATGTATCAAGTTCAGCACTAACTCAACCTCATGCTCAACAGGAAGTTCATGAAGACCATCACACACATGCAAAGGGTACCAATTCTCAGCAAAATGGAGCTAAAATTAATGCACATACTGCGAGACCATCGGATTTCCAGAAAAAACCAACTCATAATGTTGATGCTATCAACACTAAGAAAAAGCAGAAGATTAGGAAAACTAGAACACTAGTAGGTGTTCAATTTATTTTAAGTTTGTCTTTAGTTTTACTATAGTAAATAGTAAATATAACAATTAGATGATGTGTACAAGTGAGGAGAGTTAGGCCTACTAATGATGCTGACAAATCAACTGCAGTGCCCCACAAATAGTCTCTCTATTCAAAGAGAAAACTATTTGATATAAACAAAATAAGAATCAACACCAACTATGAGTACTTGGATAAAGAATCTCCTTTCAAGATTGATAGATGGGTAAGAATATCTAGGAACAACAATGATGAAAAATCAGATTAAAAAACTTATTAACGTATCTAGTCTATGCGCGAATGCCATCGTTTCCAATTGAGTTTTAATTGCTGACGTGGCACAATTTTATTGGCCAATTGGTGGTCGTCCTTCGTTGATTGAGCTGATGAATTGAATTGAGGACAAAATCGAGATTTCACGCCTTAATGAATAGGTAGGGTTACTGAGAGTCTTTGCTTGTTGCTTCTGCTTGCGCCGCTTGTTCTACCAGTCTCCTCACCTCCCTTTTTCCAAAACACCTCTATTTCCTTTTATCTCATCCGAGAGTATGACTGACTGCCTCCATTCCTTCCATGGATTTCCTCCATTTTTTTCTCTGAAAAAAAGAAAAGAAACAGACTAACAACACACCACATCTATTCTCCCTTTCTTCTATATTTTTCCCTTTTTTTAAAGATTATTCGAAAAAAATGATGCTCAAAACCCACCTTTTATTCTCTCTCTTTTTTTGCCCTTTTTGTCTCCTTACTCTAAGATAGGAGAACCTCGAAAATTTGGTCGATCTTGTTTGCTCAACTGCTCACATTTGGATTTTCTTTTTCTATTTCTGATCTCCATTCCTTTTCCTCATAAACCTATGATTTTTTCCCTCTTTCTACACAGAAAAATTTCTATTTTGTCTCAATTATTTTTCTCTTTATTGGGACATAATTACCTTGGAGATCTTTCTTATCTGATTTATTTTCGATCCGTTGATCTCGCCATTTTTTAGTTTCAAAATTTTCCTTATTTTGACTGATTTTCTTTATTCTCTAAGCAATTTCATGTTTGTTTCAGGGTGCAAGTTTAAGGTTTGCATTTTATTATCTGGTATCTTCAATCTCTACAGAACCCGCCAGGTAAGAGATCTCACATGATGTTTATTTTTCTCATGGCTTTTTTGACTATGATAATTTTTTGTTATGGAATTTTTTTGTGATTATCTCAGGTAAAAAAAAAAACACAAGAAAGGCCACTGAAGGAGGAATTACAGTTAGTATCTTGCCTTTTCATTTTTTTTTGGGTTATTTGTTTTTCTCTTTATTGGGACATAATTACCTTGGAGATCTTTCTTATTTGATTTATTTTCGATCCGCTGATCTAGCCATTTTTTAGTTTTAAAATTTTCCTTTATTTTGACTGATTTGCTTTATTCTCTAATCAATTTCATGTTTGTTTCAGGGTGCAAGTTTAAGGTTTGCTTTTTATTACCTGGTATCTTCAATCTCTACAGAACCCGCCAGATAAGAGATCTCACATGATGTTTATTTTTCTCATGGCTTTTTAGACTATGATTATTTTTTCTTATGGAATTTTTTTGTGATTATCTCAGGTAAAAAAAACACAAGGAAGGCCACTGAAGGAGGAATTACAGTTAATTTCTTGCCCTTTTATATTTTTTGGGTTATTTGGTTGTGATAAATAGTATTTTTCTTTACTCGTTTCTTCCTTCAACTATATTATGAGAAAATCCAATATTGTTCATACTGGTATCAACTATTTTTTTGTTAGAAAAGTTATAGATCTAAAGCTTCGTTCCAACCATATTTATTTGTTGCCCCCATCCTCATTTCTGAGCGCATATTATATTAGAGATTAAAAATAATCATTATAGGGTTTTCTTTTGTATGGAATAAAATTTGATCATATTTCTCCCAAGGACGGCTTTAAGGTATCCTGCAATTTGGGGCTCTCTTTCTGGAAAATTTTGTTTATTGCATGTGAATTAATTTCTTCGATCTCTTTTTTTTTCCTTCTTTTGGTTGGCAATGATCTCTCCATACCTTTGCTACTGGTTTTATTGGTCTAAGTTTTAATAGTTCTCATGGAGTTGTATTTATATTTACTTAGTTTGCTTTTTTTTTTTTTGACGTTTCTTTGAGAGCCCTTATACAAACTTATGATTTGTGTGATTTGCTGGTTTACTTTCAGCTACTACATTTCTCATTGTCTTTGGTTAATTATTTAATAACCATCTATTTTACTTATTTGTTTTCAGGTTCTCTTTGTAAACTCTTTACCCTTTCTTCCATATTTTTCTTGCACGATGAGGTGGAATAGTTACAAGCTATCAGAATGTATCTCTTCAAGAGGTGGAAACATTCTCAATTATGATATTTTTGTATCTGAGCACAAGAATGTATAGAAGGTCTGTTGCTCTATCATGTACTTAATTGTATTTTAGCACATTTCAATTCCAAGTAAATAAGCTCATTTTATGCTTTATTTTTTTGGAATATTTGGCTTATGTTTGGGTTTAGCTTGAAGTTATAGTCCCTTTTGTGATTTGTCCCTCATCCTTCAACCGGTGGATTATGTTTAGTTGATCTGGTGGATTATGTTTATTAGATTTAATGACTCATGGTTTCTTTTTTTATTAACAAGACCTTTATTCTTCTGATATTTTGCCTCTTAGAAAAGTATTTTGTGTCACTGATATTTTTTATCTGATTTATATTTTTTTGTTATTGCCTTTGTAGGAAGAAAGATGATAGCACCTACCTTTCATTTTTTTCTGTTCTATAGAGGTATATTCATTTGAAGTTTTTTTTTTAACTCTTTTTGGCTGATAAGAATGTTCTTTTGATTTCTGTTTCTCAAGTCTCAAATCTTTTGAATTTTTTTTTTGTCTTACCATTATTTTTTGTAGGAAGCAAGAGGAATTTATCACTGTCTAAAAAAAAAAGATAAACATTTTTTGAGTAAATAGACTCGTCAAAAAGGAACACTGGATATTCAAAATGCTATCGGAGTAGCAGTATGAGTTAGTAATCAAGGCGCTCATACCTAATGACCTTAATTTTTGTGATTTATCCCTTTTGATAATTGGTGACTTCATGTTAGTGTTTCTTTTGCGTTTTAGATTGTGGCCAACTATTGGTTGTTTTATAATGATTATAGAAGAATCAGGTTTTAGATTTAGAAAGGCTTTTTTTCAATAACATAATTCTACTAAATCTACTACGTTGGTTGGAGATGTGGTAAAATTATCATATCACATTGTTTGGAAACTTTCTTGTGTTGTTATAAGAAGTACGAAAAGTTTTCAGAAAATGCTAATTTATTCTTGTAAATATTTTCCTTTTTGACTTATCAGATATTCCCAGAATTCTTATGTAATTCTACGTGTCCTTTTATGTAGTAGATTGCATTTGGATCCATTTGCTTAAGGTGGTCCAAATCCTTTCATGTATTCACCGATGATGCAACAAAAGTAACTTTAAAAGTATTTTTGGTCCTTAATTTTTGCTATTGTAAGGTTTAGGTCCTTTGTTTAGGTTTTAGATTTAGAAAGCCTTTTTTCTAATAACATAGTTCTCCTGCATCTGCTATGTTGTTTGGAAATGTGGTAGAATTATCATATCACATTGTTTGGAAACTTTCTTATGTTGTTATATAAGTACGAAAAGTTTTCAAAAAATGCTGATTTATTCTTGTAAATATTTTCCTTTTTGACTTATCAGATATTACCAGATTTCTTATGTAGTTCTACGTGTCCTTTTATGTAGTAGATTGCATTTTGATTCATTTGCTTAAGGTGGTCCGAACCCTTTCATGTATTCACCTATGATGCAGCAAAAGTAACTTTAAATGTTTTTTTGGTCCTTAATTGTTTGCTATTGTAAGTTTTAGGTCCTTTGTTATCTGTTTAGATTACAAACTATTTATTTACTTCAAAAAGTGGCTTAGGGACGATGTTTTGTCCTATTGCATCAATGTGATTTGGATGTGAAATTTTGAAAAAAATTTAGGTGTTTAGTGCTTAATTCCTATTGTTTTACTTCTTTTTTGCGATTTAACATATGCTATGCTAGATTTGATGGTGTAGCATAAGAATTTTAACTATATTTATTTTCTACTAAATCCCAAATGTTTATTATGGGTTGAGATATTAAGATTTACAGCATAGTACAAAAGGATTTTGGAAATTGTTTTCTCAATGTTAATTTTATTTAGGCCCTTTTTTTAACAAAAAAAATGTTAATCTGTTTAGTGTAGATCCAAGGTTTTGTGGTCTTCATTTCCCCCCCCCCTCCCCAATAAATTTGCTCTTGCCAGCATTTTTTATTCTAAGTCTTTGTTAGATGAAGGAAGAAAAGATAAAGGAGGCTACTTTTCTTCAGTAAGCCTGGATGATGTGTTTTAATGTCCTTTTTTTTGTGTGAACAAATTTTTTTCATTGTAACTGGCTGTAACTTTCTGCTTTCTTTGTCCTGTTATTGGTCTTTAAAAAAGTGAAGGGTGAAAATTTGAGACGGCATCCTATTTCCTCGAGATCCAAAGTTATTTTCTTTTACTTGTTTTACTTACTCTGTTTTTATTGTTTTGATTTCTCTGTTTGAGAATCATACAACCTAAAGCTCAATTTCTTTTTTGCAGAATTCAACTCGGACATATAATTGCTTGTACACTTGCTGTTCGGCTTGTAGTTTTGCTTGTTTCCTTTTTCTAGAGATGTTAGTCTTGTTTTTGTTTTTTCAGTTTTTGGTTATTTGTCAACCTTATTGATGGGTTGCAAGATTTACTTTTCTTTTTTTTTATCAGCTCAGTAGTGGCAAGGAGAGTAAACTAATTTGTTTTCAGGTAATTTGTAGTTTGCCTTTTGTTGGAACTTTATTTTGGTTGGCAATGTCAACCTAGCAAGTTACCAGTGCCACTGGTAATGAAGCGATTTTTTAATTCTTTGTAATGCTGATGATCCCTAAAGGACATCAATAAATCAAATTTCTTGACTTTTTGATGGTTTATTTGAGGATGTAGTTTTATATTGCAAACTTCAATGGCATTTCTTCGTGAAGTTTTCTTGTTGGATTGGGTGAATATTTTGTCAATGTCGTGAACTTTACTTTTTATTTCATTCGGTAAAACAATAGTTGAAGCCATCCATTTGTTACAAAATAAAATGGGTATATTTGATGTTCTTTTTGTAACTATTGCAAGGATTTTGATACATTTTTATGTAACTTTTTATAATTAATTTTTTAATTTGAATAACTGGATGTTTCGGGGCAAGCTTGAAAATTACACCGCGCATCGTGCGGTGTTCTCCTCCTAGTGAATATATGATTGGCTTTGAATTTTGTTTTGTTGGTAGTACTTTGATTGTCTTTTGTTTAGATGTATTCTATGGCTAGAATAATTCTTGACTATTGATGACCCTGTTTGGATTAGTTGTTTTTGGAGGTATTTTTTAAAAATTTTACTGTAACTGTGTATATGAAAAACTTTTACTATAGATGTTTTTTGGATTGTTTTTAGAGGTATTTTTAAAATATTTTTTTGAGTATTTTTATAATTTACAATTTTTTTGGGATGTTTTTTTTTTTATTTTACATGACCCACCACTATCCCTTCCGTTTTCCTCCCCCTCTCTCCTTTCTCTTCCTCTCCTCCTCCCCTCTATTTCCTTCCCCTCCTCCTCCTCCTCCCTCTTTCCTCTCCCTTCTCCTCCTTTCCCTCCTTCCCTCTTTCCCCCCAACCCCAAACCCTTTTCCTGCTCGTAGGTGGTAGCTGTGACTTTAGCCACAACTATGACCGTTTTAGTCGCGACTTCTGATCGCGATCAGATTTGATCGTGACTAGAAAGGTTGCGGTCAGTCGAGAGAAAGGAAATTGGGAGGCGGGGAAAAGAAAAGAAGAAAGGAGGAAGGAGAATGAGAGAGAGAGAGGAAAGATGGGCGGAGAGAAAGAGGAGAGAGAAGAGAGAGTCGTGGGTGTGAGGGTAGTGACTGTAAGGTGGTGGCCGTAGTGGTGGAGAGTGATGGGTAGTTGTGTATTTTTTTGTATATTTAGAGTTGTTTTTGATATATTGTATGGGTATGGTGTTTTTTGAGTTGTTTTTGTTTGTGTATTACTGTAGCATTGTAGATGAAAAAATTATTTTTCAAAAAAGTCTGAATCCAAACAGAACTGATATGTAAAAGAAGTACAACTTTATTGGGGGTTTTGATTAGGAGATTCATGCTAGTGACTGTGACAATTTCGTGAAAGTTGTACTCTTTTGTTTGGAATTGTGCATGTTCAATCTCATTTTGCTAATGCAAGTTATCTTTTGTTGTATTTGACATTTATGTAGATGCATTTGTGAGCTAATAATATATTTTTTTGAACATATGTAATTTGATAATCCTCAAACATACATGGTTGTTAGTCACTTAACCAATACTTCACTTTTTGGTCTATAAACTACTATATTATATATTACATCTAAGGTGTAAACAACACCAACCAAAATGAAATGTAAACAATAATGGCACCACCTCAACAAAACAAACTTTCTACTAAATCATTTGGCAGCATTGGTTTTGAATTTAAGATATACAACTATATACCAGTAGCTATCAATTTGCAATTTTCCAAACTTATTCCCTTTCTCGATCCCTAATTCCGCATTGATACACTCAGAATAGTTCAGGTTGCAACAAAAAGCACAGTGAGCATTTTTTTCCTATTCTTTTTTCCTAGCTTCTCCTTCAGATTTTTTTACTTGAACCTCCATTTTCTCAACTTTGTTTTGCCACTAATAATGGGATGAAAGGAGCAGAAGATTTGCCTCTAGAGTCAGTGGAACCTCTATGAATGGTCCAAAGAGCTTGTTGACAAAACTTTAGTACACGATGTGGTAAACCATCTAGACTTCTTTAGATGTGGTAAACTTTATATGTAAATTTGCTGTACCATCTAATCCAATCCCAAATCCCATGATATCCAATATGCACACATACAAGGTCAACACAACAAAATATCTGCAGAGCAAATTATCTGGGTAGCCACTGAATTTTTTGAATAGTTAAGATTTGGTCATTCAACTATTAATAGTATATTTTTATTCACTAAACGATCACAAAGTATAAACTTTGTGCCATTCCATCTAATTCCATCGTTAATTCTGTCAGATATAAGGATCTGCATGATTCACAAGACATTATTACTAAATAGATATGATAGAATTAATGATAAAATTAAACAGAATGATCCAAAATTTATACTTTTGATAGTTCAATAATACAAACATACTATTAATTGTTAAGTGGCCAAAAGTTGACTGTTCAAAATTTTAGTAGCTCCCCGAGTAATTTGTTCAACATCCGTAAGGTGACTGCAATCTTATAAAATAGAGTCTAAAATTAGAGAGCAGAATATCTAATCTAAGAGGGATCTCGGAATTTACTCAAAAGAGCTTAAACAAGTAAACAAATTATTGTTGTGACAGCTATTATTAGGATGAATAATACAGAAAGGACTATTCTAATGTTACAGATGTCTGTGACTTTACATTTACGGATGCTTATTTTATCGATTTTTATATTTTGAGTAGGATCCAATAGTTATACCAATCAAAAAGTAGATCAATCCCACCCCATCCCTCTCTCGCCCTCCAATCTCCAAGTTCTTTCCTTTCTGCAGCCATAAATGATACCCCCATCCCCATTCTTCTTGCGTCTACCACTTTTCAGTTTTCTCATCCCAATATTTTCCTATTCTTCTCCAAGTTTAGATTCTCCATGTTCTGTTATCACTCTACAACCCCCTTTCCCTCCTCTCTTCCCAAAAAGAAAACACCAAAATAGTTATCTCTATTTTCTTCTTCTCATTTTAAACTTGATGTTAACAATGTTTTTCATGTCAAATCTCTGTCTTTATTGGTTTCATATGCAGGGTGTGATAAATGGTATTATTGTGTATTTGTGCTTTAAGGAAAAAAAAAAGTGATTTTGAGATAGAAGCATTTGATCAATTGAGGAGTTCTCTTAAATCATGAGAATTGTTAAAACTTGATTTCTAAACTGTCCATAAAGTCATGAAATTTGTATCGTAAAAGGAAAAAATAGTTCATGAAATTTGGCTGACTATCCACTAAACCAGTATAGAAGTGGCAGAGACAGTGAGTGTGTTTGGATTGAAATGATTTGAAATAAAATAATTTGCTTCACAAATTCTAATCACTTTCTTATTTTTCCAATCACCTTTTTATTTCACATACATCATATCAGAAGAAGTACTACACTAATTATCTTAAATAAATCATCCAAATAAACTCCTATCCAAACAAACTCACGTGGCTAATTGAGAGATTTGGAAAAGAGGATGTTGAAAATTTAGAAGTTGATGAGGGGTACATATGTAAAACTATGGGTTAATTACATTTACCTCCCCTGAGGTTTGACCATATTACCAATCAATCCCTGTAATTTGTCCAAATAACGGTCTCACCCTCTGAACGATCAAACATTTAACAAAAACCCCCTTAATGCCGAAAATGCCCTTATTGAGGCCATGTTGCATTAAAAAAGGAACACATTTTTATTTTATTAACCCTGAAGCAATCCAAAAAAATAGAAAAAAGTTTTATTATTTTATAAAAACCATATCTTTACTTCCATAAATAGTTTTGAATCAATAATTATTGTAAATCTTAAAAATAAATATTAAAAATTAGATATATTGAAAGAAAAATAAAAAAGAAGAAATTATTTTAATTCCTGAAGTATGGTTCAAATTGAGGAAAACATGCATTGTGCTCTCCGCAACATGCCTTGAACCACAATTCGAACCATACTTGAGAATTTAAAATAATTGCTTCTTTTTTATTTTTCTTTCAATTTATCTAATTTTTAATATTCATTTTTAAGATTTAAAATAATTATTGATTCAAAACTATTTATGGAAGCAAAGATATGATTTTTATAAAATAATAAACAAAACTTTTTTCTATTTTTTTGGATTACTTGAAAGTTAATAAATAAAAATATGTTCTTTTTTTTAATGCAATATGGTCTCAAAAAGGGCATTTTCGGCATTAAGGGGGTTTTTGTTAAATGTTTGATCGTTCAAAGGGTGAGACCGTTATTTGGACAAAAATTGATTGGTAATATGGTCAAACCTCAGGGGAGGTAAATGTAATTAACCCTAAAACTATTCGTTCCACATTTTAACGGGACGAGCCGGTAGCCCTTTATGCCTCAATCCAATTAAATGTAACCAACGGTCAAAAATTGTCCATAACTCAATGTTTTCAGAACCGGATCGGACCGGCCGATTCGACCGGTCCAACTGCGAACCGATAGTATCAACGGTCCGGTCCAGCATCACACCCGAAAACTAATGAAAACCCGCTAAGAACCGGACGAACCGTTAAAAATCGTTTAAACCGTAAACCGCCGGTTCATAAATTTTCAAGCAATAGACCTGATATTGAAAACAATAATACCAATAGAGGCAGCAGCTAAGATTCGAACTCAGGCCATCATGATCACAAAGAGTATGCTTACCACCAATCTACAACCGAGGGACAAGCCTTTTCTTGTGTAGAATTATACTTAATCTAATCAAAATATAAAATTAGATTAAATAAAAAAAACCCTAGCATTGGCTTCAGACGGCACCATTCATTCAATTCACTTTCTTAATTATTATTAACATAACACTCTATGAGCCAAAGGCGTTACTGTTCATTTGCTTTTTCGTCGTCGTCGTCGTCACGTGTTATAAGCATGTCTTCAGTGCTTTTTTATTTCCGCGCGATGCGCGGGTTGTCGACTTAGGGTTCTCTACACAAATCGCATTTTCTCTCCAGGCTTTCCTTTCCAAAACCTCCGTGCCGCCGCTTCTTCTCTTCTGTCTTTCCTCTCCTGGCTTTTCAACTTAGGGTTTCCTCTCTGCTTCCTATTCTCTCCGCAGCCGCCTCTGCTTCCTATTCCTCTCTTTACGAAACAAAAAACTTGATCATTTGCTTCTCCTTGGCCACCACTTCAAAACTTTTGATGTTTTCGCTTTCTTTTCTTCTTTTATGCCTCTCAACTCCCGAGTCCAAGATTTCCATTAATCCCTAGCAATCGGCGTGATTCTTCTGGTTAGTTACATTATTTCCAGATCTCAAGATTGTTCAATTATTCCTAGGCTTTTGACATATTCATCTTCTCTTCTCTTTATTATATTTGGATAGGTCATTCTGACTTCTGTTTTTTGCCCATTTTTGTATATTTACAGTATTTTTATATATTTGCATGTGTTTTCTGACTGAAGCTTTTTATGATTTTTTTGTGTAGTCTTTCTTTTTCATGCTATAGACTATTCTTTACCGGATTACTGAGTCGATCAAGCCCACCATATTTCATTTAGGACCTATTAGCTGGTTTATCGTGCCTCCTATAATTTATTTTCCTATTTTAATGAATATTCTATACCATATTAGAAACAAAAAAGTAAAAGAAATGGCTTAAGATAATGCGATAAAAGCCCACCATATTTCATTTAGGACCTATTAGCTGGTTTATCGTGCCTCCTATAATTTATTTTCCTATTTTAATGAATATTCTATACCATATTAGAAACAAAAAAGTAAAAGAAATGGCTTAAGATAATGCGATAAGATAAATTGAAAGGTGACGACCAAGGCTGTGTATGCCAAAAATTTATCAGTATGCTTTGCTAGATACAAATGGACATATTTATGCATTTTTATCAATATTCCCGCTCTAATTGCTGCATCTTCTAGATTGCACTATCCTACCATTCGTTTACTATGATGCAATTTACATGTTTTAAATTTGCAGGTTGGACTTTTTGTATATGACATTTTCTGGATCTTTTTTACCCCAAAAATGGTTAGTGTTGCTAAATCTTTTGATGCTTCTATCAAGATAAGTGTGTCATCTTGTGTTCTGTATATCTTTTAAAAATTCTTGTTCTTGGATTCTGTCTATCATAGTTTGCAACCAAGTGTAACAATAAATACTTTCTACAGTTTTTGTTCCCAACGGCTGACTCTGCACCTCCATTTTCAATGTTGGGTCTTAGGGATACAGTATTTCCTGGTATAGCTTATATTCTAATTGTTCTAATAGTTGTTGTTAGTTTGCCATCCTCATTTTGGCTTCTGTGTTGGGAGTCCATGGCTGAGTTCTTGAATTTGATGTTTGACTGTTTTTCATCCTCGACTGCTTATAAGTAGCAGATGTATCTGGTGATGAGAGTCATCATTTTGAATCCAACCCTCTTTAGAGCATTGCATTTTTTACAATCTAAAATAATTGGAAAGCTTTTTGTTTTCATCTCTAAGCTTCTTGTTTGGTTTGTTGGTGATCCCTTGTGATGTGCACATGATTCTAAATTGTATGAAGAAATACTCGGAAGTGTGCTAAGTAAAATCTGCATCTGTAATTTATATATCTCAGGGCTTTTGGCATTGCACTTTGATGTTTCTCAGGGGAAGCAGAACCAATATTTCAAGAGTGCTTTTGTAGGATACTCTGTTGGTTTGATCCTTGACAATAAGTGTCATGAACTGGTTTCAAGCTGTATAGGAAGGTGTTTTATGCATGTCCTTATCTTTGAAAGTAGATAGATACATTTGAGAAGTGTAAATTTGTTCCAGTGAGGAGGGTCCATACTTCTCATTTCGTTGATCCTTTTAATGGTTGTTTATTTAGTCTGTGCTCTTGTATATTGTACTGGTTGTCATCAGATTTTTGGGTGTGTACGTCGCTTGGAATGGGGAAGTAAAACCAGTAAGTCTTTTGTGATCATGAATTTATTTTATAACTGTTTTTAAATGCTGAACTTCTTTCTTTCCTGGTGTATTATAGTGAAATGACTTTATGCATGTCTTTGGCAGATACTTTTAAATGGCCGGCTAGCTGCCTGGCTTATAGCTACTTGATTCTAAGCTTTGCAACTAAGACAATGAAAATAAAACTAGAGGTAGCAACCAGCAATACAGAATACATAAAGGTATTATAGTTTAATTTTTGGCTTATGAATTTTTTCATATGCTCTTCTCTGAAGGTTTGAGTTTTGCTTGCATATTTCTTATGTATGATTGAACGACATTCTGTAGATGGAAAGGGTTACCAATAGAATGTTTAATTTTTTAACTGAATTTTTTTATGAATTCTTCTCTGACGGTGCGAGTTTTGCTTGGCATGTGCATGAGTAAACCACATTCTATAGATGGACTGGGTTACCGATTGAACCTTTTAATTATAACAACTTTAAACAAGAAGAAAATTATAGTCAGAAGTTTTTAGTTTTATAATCTGTCATGCCACATTTTAGTTCAATCATAGTACTGGTTCTGAGTGCCTTAATCTTGTACATAAGTTTAATTTTATTGCTTACATGATAAGCTGTCATTCAAGTGAAGTCTGGAACAGCCCAACAGTATGCAAATTTTAGTTCGATCATCGAGCAATTGTTCTGACTTCTGAATACCTTCAGCTTTAATTTTGTACTTTTATTCTATAACTAAAGGTAGTTTTTTTTTTGGCACTTTAATCCTTCTGCTTTGGTTGCTTTTATTCTGTGATTAGTGCGTTTTGGTAAGCTTGACAAATTGATCCTCCTGCCTTATCTTGATATTGGCCATTTTACATCTTTTCCAACATTTAGTTGATGGTCGTGCCTCTATAATTGAGTCACCGGTTTCCTTTCTCTTCCCTTTTTTTTTATACGAGTAGTCATTTTGTTTCTGAGCTGATATTGTGATATACTATCTCGTCTTTTGGTTGACTGATTTGTAATATATATGATGGGAGTTGTTTTATATGCTTTACCAGTGAGAAAGGCGCTTTTTAGATGGTGTTCCTGTTATTGCTAGGATTATGCTGTTGATCAAAGGTGATTCCCCCGTGTTGCTTTTGTTGGCTCCTGTAATTTTTTGAGATTGCTGACACCTTCTTGTTTACGTTTGTTGCTATAGTAAGAAGCCTGTTCTGCTGACATTGTTCCGTGATTTTTGAGATTGAAGTGGGATGAACCAAAGTAGATGCTACGGGGTCTGTTGAGTCCAATCCAATTATTATTGGTACTAGATTCAGATTGAAGCATTGATAAATGTGAGATCTGTTTCTATGTATATTCATGGTTTCTTAGTTAATTTGTGTTAGGCTGTTGTATTACTGGTCACTGTGCTATATTTTTTTCTTGGTACTTTTCCCTTCTGGACTTTAAATCACAGATTGTTTGCTAAGTCATAGCAAGCTAGAATGTTATATTGATTTTTTGAAAGGTGACATTTTTTATTAGGCATTTCTGATGGATGGTTAACCTCCTTTTCTTCAACTGATATACTTGAATTTTTTTTGAATCGTCCAGAAATTTCTTGTTTTTGGTAGAAGATGGCGCCAACATTTTCTTGCTTAATATTGCATTAAATAGTGCGATCCAGGTTTGAATTTGAGTATACCAAATTGTGAATTCAGTGGTTGGTTGATAAGCATTAATTCATTGATCTCCAAGGAAAAAAAATACAAGGGTATGGATAGAATTGAAACTCTTATTCAGACAATGCTTAAGAGTGCGCAGTCTAAAAATATAGACATTGTCTGGGATTGCTTTGAGGTCCGTGAGATTACCTGCTATGTTTTTTTTCCTTTCTTTATTTACTAATCAATTTAATAATGCCAATTTCATCAAATAAGCAATTTGAGAAAAAAGGTTCAATTAGCCACCCTAGCAATCAAAAGAATTATTTTCTCTAGGGAAAAATAATAGTGACCTTAAAATTAGCAAAGCAGCAAAGGCCGCACATGCTAAAGGCCTTCCAAAGAAACATCCGGTAAAGCGCAATGGGTACTCTCCAACTCCTAGCTGCTTCATAGTTTTGTACGACTCCAAAACCTCTTCATTATAAGACCAAAATAGAAGGAAATTAAAAAAAAAGCCCAAAGGGCTGGTTGTCAAGTACATGCAAAGTAAATATGGTCCTAAATATATAGCCATTTTGTTCATATGTAATTTCCAGCTATTAATCTTGAGCTTTAAATGAATAAGCAATTTTCTCATTTAGCATTCCCGGCTATTAATCATAAAGTGGGCATACAAGTTTTTATCTCTGCAAGCGCGGTTTACCTCTCCTAGTTTCTTTCTCAGCCGCACAAAGCCACAAACGCACAGACGGGCAACGGCACCATTTCTCATTTCTCCTTGGCTTCACTTCACTTTCTCACTTTCTCAGTTCCTCCATTCCTTCAATTTCTAGTTAATCTATTTTTTTTTTCTTCATCATCCTTCCACATCCAAATATCCACAACAAGATCAGCACACTATTATTTTTAGACGGGACTCCAAAGCTTTGCATCTTGGTAAGTTTAATTTTTGCCTTTTCTTGATTTTTGTTTTCTATATTATCTTTAGTGGATTTTTTCGTATTTTCTTCTTTTTTTTCCCCAAATTTTCATCCGTTTATGAATCATAAATTCTTTGGCAGTCATGTTTGGAGAAGTTATTTTTTGGATGAAGTATCAAATTAATAAAATTAGTCATGTTTGGTTTTTTAATTTTGTATTTTTCTGGAATTAATATTTGGAATGCCCTTTTTTTGTTCCATTGATATTGTTTGTGACAATAACCGTATGCAACTAATTTATGATTTATAATTATAGTATGCAACCGTATGCCCTTTTTTTATTCAATTAATTTTTGTGACCAAAAACTAATTTCTGCTCAAATGTTCAAAGTTCATACGGCTCAAATGTTTGTCTTTTGTGGAGATATGCAATATACTTCAGTTATAGGAGATTTTTTTTATTTTTTTTTAGATTTCATCTCGTATATTTTTATGGCTTGATCATTGGTGTTATGACTGGGTATAGCCCAAAATTTTTATGGCTTTTTTTTTTAGTTTCACCGATTTGATTTATATTTTTTGTAATAAACTTTTTAACTTTTTCAGGTTAAATTGATGAAATTGTGAAGGGGGTGCTCATGCCTTGTCATGCCAATGATGGACATTTGTTATTCAAATTGTATGCCTTGAATATGAGTTGAACTCTTTTATGGACTTTTTTGGAATTGTGAAAGAATGTCAATATTTATTTTAGTTATTTGTGTGTTTTTGTTTGTGATAATTGGTGAATATTTGGGCTATATCTATTTATGTTTGTAATGAATTTATGAAAACTTGCGGTGAATTATGATATTTTAGTTATATTTGTCATTCCAGGTTTCATGTATAATTTTTAAAAAATTTATTATTATCTCAACTTAAATTTAGTTTTAAGTTATATTGATGAATGTATTTTAGGGACTTAAGTTATTAATAACCATGTTAGAATGTACATTAACCGTCAAGTTCCAATGTAGACTGTACAGTGAAGACCTATGAAATATTTAGCATTAAAGCTGCAAAAAAAAAAAAAAAAACAGAGAACCGTTGAACCGGCTGGTCGGACCGGTCGGACCGTGAACCGCCCCCTTCTCCGGTTCACTGGCCGGTCCGAGTTTAAAAACATTGCCATAACTCAGAGGAATCTACGGACCGTAATTTAACCATTTTCCAAAGCAGAAAATGGACAAATCATTTGGCCTTGCTTAGCACTTTTCTTTATCTCCGCAATCAGCTTTCTTCTCCTGTGCTTGTAATCCCCCGGTCTCTTCCTTTCTCTATCTCTGTTTCTATTTATCGAGCATCCCTTTGTTCTCCTACTCCCAACTCACTTACCACCCTGCATCCTTCTCATAGGCTTAAGAATTTCAGGATGCCATTATCCCCATGGTCCAGCTACCGCAATTCTGAAATAGTAGCATAGTAAAGGTATATCCATTTCAGTTGTATCCACTCGTTTAGTTAACACCTGCAACAGCCACTTGTATCTGTTATTTATTCAAATTCAGCAGAATTTTAGCAATTTATTAACTTGCACTGACTCAGCAATTTCAGAATTTAAGAATTTCAGCAATTTCTTAACACTGCTATTCAACATTGAAAGATTGTCAATTCGTTCTTTATTTCATGCACTGAGTTTTTTCGGAAATTAAGCCCAGAAATTTTATTTTGAGATCAGTCTTGGAGATACACCAGCTATTGAACAGTTCAAGATGGATTGTTATAAGTGACTAATACCACCTGATTCTAGCTGAAGTACGCCTCAAGGAAATGACCCTTAAATTTAAGAAGATGAATAGTAAAGGGTTTCTCATTTGGGATATTTTTGGTTGAATTAGTATCCGTTTTCTGCGTTGTTTATTACACAGGCAAGCTATTTGACACAATGGCTAAGTGAATCGTGTAATGGTAGATGTGTTTTCATTGCTAGCCATGGTAGCACGCTCTCTTCTTGAGTTCAAATCTTTAGAACTTCGACATCATCCCAAGGTGTCAGCTAACAAAGTGAGTCTTTCTCTATTTCCCACTCAATCTCACAAACACACACGCACAAATGGGGAGCTACTAGGTGGTGGTGACAGATTATCTGGTAATGATTTTTCAGTTTACAATGCTGTGCAAGTCTCTTTATTGTTGTTTAACTCAAACAACCAACTTAGTAATCATAAAGACAATTTCTTGCAGGGTAGAAAATTGGTAACCAATATATCATTTCCAACCACCAAAAAAGGGAGTTTATATTTGGGAAACACACTCTTGAAGTCTAGTGTTAGTGACGAAGGTTATGAGAAGACTCAAGCTCAAGAGCTGATCGATGGTCTTCATGAATGTGCAGCCAATGGGTTACTTAAAGAAGCAAAATCTATACATGGACATATATTGAGGTGTCATTTTACCGGTGATAATTTGATGGTTCTACTCAATCATGTAATGCATGTGTATTCAAAATGCTCGAATTTTGGATTAGCTAGGTTAGTGTTCAACAATATGACACAGAGAAATGTTTTTTCTTGGACTATAATGATAGAGGGGTCCACAAACAATGGTTTTCTGCATGATGGTTTGAAGTATTTCTCTGAGATGCAGAAATGTGGAATACAGTTGGATGCGTTCACATATTCGGTAATACTACAGTTATGTATAGGGTTGAATTGTCTTGATTTAGGTGAAATGGTGCATGCCCGGATTCTCATAACAGGTTTTGCATCACATGTTTTTGTGAGCACTTCACTGCTTAACATGTACGCCAAGTTAGGAGATGTTGAGGAATCACTGAAGGTATTTGATAGCATGAATGAGCATAATGAAGTCTCTTGGAATGCAATGATATCGGGTTTCACAGCAAATGGGCTTTACTTGGAAGCTTTTAACCATTTTCTTATGATGATGGAGCATAGATATGCTCCGGACATGTATAGTATAATCAGTGTCTTAAAGGCAGTTGGAATGTTGGGTGATGCTGGCAAGGGCAAGCAAGTCCACAATTATGCATCTAATTTGGGTTTGGACTCTAATGTTCGTGTGGGCACTGCATTAATTGATATGTATGCGAAGTGTGGTGCTTTAAGTGATGCACAATCTGTATTTTATAGTAACTTTTCTAATTGTGGACTAAATATGCCGTGGAATGCTATGATTGGGGCCTATTCACTGTGTAATTACAGCCAAGAAGCTGTGCAACTTTATTCTGAAATGTGTTGGAACAACATAAAGTCAGATGTCTACACTTATTGTAGTGTGCTTGATGCTATTGCCAGTTTGAAGTGTTCCCATTTTTTGAAGCAGGTTCATGGAAAAGTTTTAAAGTCTCGGTATGATTTGATGGACCTAAGTGTTGAAAATGCTATAGCAGATGCATATTCCAATTGCACATCTCTTGGAGATGTAAGGAAGGTCTTTGACACAATGAAAGATAGAGATCTTGTTTCTTGGACCACATTAGTGGGTGCTTATTCTAGATGTTCTGATTGGGAGGAAGCACTAGTAATTTTTTCTCAAATGAGGGAAGAAGGTTTTTTACCTAATCATATCACTTTTTCTACTATACTTGATGCATGTGTTGGCCTTTGTTCCCTTGAACTTGGTGAGCAGCTCCATGGCCTTGTTTATAAACTTAGATTGGATACTGATAACTGCATAAATAGTGCTCTAGTTGACATGTATGCTAAGTGTGGCAGCATAACGGTGGCAAGGAAGGTTTTTGATTGCATCTCAACCCCTGATGTTGTTTCATGGACTGCTATCATATCAGGTTATGCCCAACATGGATCTGCAGCAGATGCACTTCAACTGTTCAGGAAGATGGAAAAGTTGAATGTTAAAGCCACTGCTGTAACTTTGTTGTGTGTTTTATTTGCTTGTAGTCATGCTGGAATGGTGGAAGAAGGTCTTGACTATTTTTGGTCCATGGAGGATAAATATGGTTTGGAGCCTGAGATGGAACACTATGCTTGTATTGTTGACTTACTTGGTCGTGTGGGCCGTCTTAATGAAGCATTTGAATTTATAAAAGCAATGCCAATAAAACCAGATGAAATGGTCTGGCAGACATTGTTAGCAGCATCCAGGATCCATGGGAATATTAATTTGGGAGAAATAGCAGCAAAGAATATTCTTTTAATGCAGCCAAATTATTCAGCTCCCTATGTTCTTTTGTCCAACATGTATACAGAAAAAGGGAGCTTCAGATATGGACTTCAATTGAGGAAGATGATGAAACAGCAAGGTATTGCAAAGGAGCCAGGATATAGTTGCATATCATTGAAAGGTAGAGTCCACAGGTTTTATGCTAGAGATCAGGAGCACCCACAAAAAGATGACATATATCTGAAGTTGGCAGAATTAAGGAAGATGATCAAGGCATTTGGTTATGTGCCTGATACAAAATGTGCCTTGCGAGGAGAGGATTAAAATGTATTTGTGAAAGTAAAATTTTTTTATTCTTTGGATATAATTTGGTAGAGAAATGCCCATCATTTGTGGAAAGCTTTCCTGTTGAAGCACTGAATTGAAGATCGGAGACACATTCAACTATGGGAATTTCTAAATTACAAGCAACTGTAGGTTGGCAACAATTTCCATGTCTTGATATGTGGTATATGCCGTTTCAAAACCAGTGCCATGCATCCCCCATTCCCCCTGTTATTTGACGACAAATGGCAGAGCAGTGACATTTGGAATTTGCTGATCATAGATCACTGAATGGTAGCAATTATGGTGTTATGTATTCTATCGGATTCATTAACATATTTGGGGAATGCTTTCTGAAACTTGTGTTTTTTTTCTGTGACTTCAAACAATCATCGAGAAGCAAGCATTGTATTCTTGATCACAACCTTTGAATATCTTCTTGGTGAGTGCCCTTTACTGAAGCAAAAATTTCATGAATAACATTGTCCAATTTATTAATATGCAGCTTGCAATAATTTGTTCACTTTTGAAGAAATGCATGGTTGCTGTATGATTTTCTCATGATGTGGCAGTTTGTCATTAGGAAGTCTCCTTCTTAGTTGTTATTATTAGGTTGATAAGTAAGAAGATACACAGTTAAGATATAGCCATAGTTTACTTGCAAATGAACTGGTATCAACAGATATACATTTTTGTGGGTAATACATAGATATTCATATATATAGGTGGTAGTTGTAATTCTTTAGCGGGGAGTTCTTTTTCCATGTGGTGACTGGTATCAACAGATATACATTTTTTTGGGTAATACATATATATCCATAGATATAGGTGGTAGTTGTACTTCTTTAGCGGGGAGTTCTTTTGCCAAGTATGTGGTGATTTACTATGTTTGGTACTGGATTTCTAGTTTGGAAATTATAATGTCATTCTGCTTATATGAAATACTGACTAACACTGTTTTTTTTTTTTTTTAACAACAGATATTTAAGCATTGATCTTCTTTAGTTGGACACAAACTCATCAGCCAACAACGGTATTCTTTCTCCCAATCACTAGCTTATTATTGTTGTTGAGTGAAATATCTGATATATGCATCAATGTTGACAAAACTTTGACTAGAGCAGTAGTTTCAAATTCTTTGCACACAAAATAATCTGATGGTCCTTTGAGATGCAACCATCGAGGATCAAGAACTAAATCCTAGGCTCATGGCTAACTTCGAGTATAGACAGCTCTCACCTTAACATTCTCATTTCCCCTTTCACTTTACTCATTTTTTCTTGTTTCATTGCCATTTTGCTATGGCTTGCAATTGTATAACTATTTTCTGCTCTAGTTTTTGTTAGAATATGATCTAACAAAGAAACCTATATGATTAGAGATAATAAGGGAAAGTATTTATTGTAGCTTTATATGTCCTATTTGCTGTGGGACTACAAACTTGTGCAGGCCCTTGTGGGGCATGATTATGTAATAGGACCTTCACGTACTGTTTCTGATTTTCCTCTTCTTATTGTTCTACAGATTATAGCATGGCTTCCATGTTTTTAAGAGGAAGTGTAAATTAGATATGCATTTTAGAAAGACAGGCAATGATGCAGTTGATTGCTAATTCTGTGTGTTACGCAAGAATGACAAAGAATGGATTTTTGTTTATCAAAATGATGAGAAAACTTGAAGGATGAAGTTATACATGTAGTCTAAGGAACTAATATGAGTGAAAAACCAGTATTTTGATTCTCAATCTGCCATATAAACTTTTCTATTGTTCAAATCAGCATTTTAAGTGCAAAATTTTTGTTCAATATTCCGTCATCTCCTTTGAAGCTATTATCCGATATTAACTTGATTGATAGATGACTGTGAATAGCTTGGGAGGACTGTATTTTTCTTCTATATTTAGATTGTCTGCTAAATTTGAATAATAATGTGAAATAATAAATCTATTGGATAGCTGTACCTTATGTGTAATTGTAAATTTAGCACAAACTCTTTCTTTTTTTTTTTTGATAAATGATTTAGCAAAAACTCATATACTAGTATTAACCTTTAATGGCACAAGTCATCTAAAATTAGTTACAATCAAAATCTTCAGGTAATTACTACCGAAATATAAATGGAGATGGTAAACTAAATTAGACTTTTATACTTTAGAGGCTAATTTACAAAATCTGGAGTTTAGATGGTAAATTGAGGACAGAAAAAACTTTATATGGCAAAATGAGCTTTGGCTGTTATATCGTGGTATTAATTTTTTAAATATTGAAGATTCTTTTTATCTAACAATACTTAAGTTGCACCACAAATTTGTAAACTTGATGGCTCATGTCATTAATGAACAAAATCCGTGAGAACATTTAAGTATCTTTCCTTATTAGTGTCTTGGTAGTAAATTAGTGTTAAAGGAGAGGCTTTAACATGAGAAAAAAGAAAGATAATAAACAAAAAGGTCTCCGGAATGCAAATCTTCCACTGCTGAATTCCTGTAGATTTTCAGGCTGAGATTTTGAAGATTCCAGCATAAGAAAGCATCTTGTTTGATAATTTCTTTTGATTGTTTGATGGTTACCATTTGTGTTTCTTCAGAAAGGACCAAACTGGGCCATTTAACTGCTTGAAATACTTGTTTCTTTTAGTTTTAGTGAACAAGTGGTTATGATTCACCAGATTCAAGCCAATTTTAACATGACGTGGTATGGTTATGCTTTCCATTTTTTCCATATCTAGTATTTACATCTTTTGCTTAACTTTCAGGAAAGTTGAACTTCTATGGCGTTTGATGTGAATGTCTGAACTTGCATGCCTGACAGATTTGCTGAACTTTGTGTGCATGCAGATTTCATATATGATCCATCTGTAAGGACAAGAAGATTTAGGCTTGGTAAAAAGGACAGGGGATATAGATGTGCATGATAATCTGTACCATAACCATACAAGGGATAAGCAGTAAAATGTATGGCAAGTGCAGAATGGTCTGCATGAATCATTTACATCTATACAGAACATTGCGATTACTATTTTATCTCCTTTTGGCACACTCTCTATGACAAAATCCTTCTTTGTATGGTACTCTCTGCGCCAGCATCAAGTTTGTTAAATGGTCCAAAATTTGACTGCAATGAAATATGTTGACCCAGCCAAATATGTTGACTTTTTTTTTCCGGACACGATAGACCTGCAGTTTCTCTATATTAGGGGGAGGGGGACCTGAAGAGGTCTAAGAAGAACTCGAAGGGGATTGAACCACCATCGATCTAGACAGGTGCCTATGCATCCGCTGATGACATTTTCAAGAAAAAAATGAATTTTAGAATGTAGACAGAGGATTTGATTCTTGAACCTACACTCAAGTAGAGTTTTAAAACTCTCTTGGTGATCAACTATTTTAGGAGTAGCTGGATGTTAATATGGTAGACTCTTTTGCTTTTTAATCATTTCTATAGAGGATGAACGTACACTTACTAAAAGAAATGTTAATAACTATGGGAGAAATGACTCTCAAGTTTAATCCTATTTTCAACGTTTTGTAGCATGAAATGGCCTACAACACAAACTTGGGAAAAACTAGACATGGAAACACTTTAGAAGGGTATTATTAGAATGTCGAATTCTGCACTGTGGGAAACTAAATTGAAACTGCCGCATAAACAATTAGGATTAAGGAATATCGGTTTAGCCCTTGTGGATATTTCTTCACATCAAATCGGTTTTTTTGCATTGCTAAATGAATAAGTAAATAGCTGAGAGTAAACAGCTAAATTTAAAATGAATAAATATAAATCTGAAATCTAAATTCTAAATTTATTAAGTTATTGAATTGTTAGTATTGAAACCCTAACATTTAAATATATTTTGTATTAAGTAATAAGTGAATAACTTTTTTTGTTGGAGTAAGTTTTGCTTGAGCAATTTAGAGCTACTTAAATAATTAAGATGCTCTATTTTTTATTATCAAATACGTCTGAATATACTAAAATTTGAACCATTAAATTAAGTACAAAATTAGGGCCACTAAAAAATTGCTCAACGCATCATATCCTATGGTGGTTAAAAAAAAAAAAAAAAGTTGTGAGACAAGGTTCAATGACAAGAAAGGTAAGAATTTTTTGTTTTTTTGGGCTGCTATGGAGAATAAAGGTCGCAAGTACAACAAGGGTGATATTTATGCTTGACTTACGTTCCATTATATTGTTCGGCAAAACTTGCTTTTTCATTGCTGCAAATTTGTCATATTCCAATCATGATACCACAGAAGAAAGTACAGATTAATAATCCTTTATTTAGTTATTAATTTTTGTAAATTATACCCTGTAGAACAATTTTACTGCAAGTCCATAGCCGTCATTCCATCCGCACTAACAAATACAATTGATTGATTTACAGCGTTGCATGATGAGAAGTACAACCGACAAGACTTCCTGGAATAAGAATCCAAGAAATTCCATCCTTTATATGTCAAATTGCACGGTCAGTATGATAAGACTCCTCAACTAGTGTTTGTTAAAAAATAGTCATTTAACAGGTAATTGTTCGCATAACCAATTATGAAAAGTAGTCATCATTCTGAAAAATTATCACAAAGGAATCGGTTCCAAATTAGTGGGAAGGATCTATAATTGCAAACTATGTTTGTTTTCTCATAGTAGCTTTAGTTGTAAGCCTTGTGACAGGATGATAGTTGTATGTTTGTACTACAATAACTTTTTAACTAACAAAAGGTGACAAGAAGAATGTAGATTAGGCTTTGATGATTTAGGGGTTTGGCTTTTTTCTTTTTTTCTTTTTAAAAAAAAAACCTTGGCCTAGGCTGAGAGAGGGAGAGGGGAAGAGAGAGAGAGATGAGAGGAAGAAAATGAGAAATTTGAAAATATTTGGATATTTAGGAAATATATGGAAGGATTTAAAGAGTCTATGTTACTACATTTCTCCGATCCCCCTCCAAAAAAAATTTTTTGACATAGATATGGCATTTTAGCAATTTAGAATTTGCTTCTGTCAGTTTTCAAAAAAGAAGAAAATGAATTCACTTCTTTCAATTTTCTCTCTTCCAAACTTCCATTTGGGCTGAGTTTTTTTTTTTTCATTGTAGCTGTCACTTTCATTCTCTAAATCTATTCTTTTCTCTACTTTCTTCTCCAAAAATTCTCCCAAACCAAAGAAAACCAAGTTCTCTACTTTCCTTTCCTTTACCTCTCCAATTCCCTTGCTAAGTTTGAAATTATTTTCACTATATAATAATTTTGAACTTTTTTGTATATTTAAAATAGAGTGTTCTACGTATTTTATCACTATGACCGGTGATATGAAACTTAATTTCAATTTAAATGTACACATGAAGGTACTTGTTTGAAGCACTTTTAGATTCCTAAAGTTATCTAATAAACTATAAAATTGAAAGTGTAATGACCTTTATAAGGATATATTGGAAACTAATTCCATACCCATCTATGTCAGTATGATAGGGAATTAGGGATAATATCAGAAAATTTCGCTGAGATTTCTCTTAATACCACTTAGCACTTTTAATTTTTTTTTTTTTTTAAATATCACTTACTTCTCTTACTTTTGTTATTTGTGTAACAAAATTTTAAAAAATCCTCAACTACTCTTTTTGCTCATTTTGCTAAATAAAATACTCCTAAACTACTTTGTTAATGTTAAGAAAAACCACCACCTAAAAATAATGTCTAGTAGTATCATTATATCACAAAGCTATAGTCCATAATAGTAGAAATAAAAAATAAAAAAGATATTTGTAAAGTGATACACTAGCACTAATTCAACTCTATACACTCAAAACCGATTTCTTATGAAACTAATATTTTTTTCAACCTTTTCTCAACTCATGGCCCAAGCTTTTTGAAGTTGTACTAAATCATAATAAAAACCAACTCAAAATAAACAAAAAAAAAAAAATCATACCCCACTTTATCACAAGCACAAAAAGAAAAAATAAACAAAATTGAATTTACCAAAATTTACAAGTGAAAATAGCATAATCATCCAAAAAATAAGTGAGAGATAATGTTAGAGAAAGGGGAAAGAGAACTAAGTGACTTTTATTTCTCTCTCTTTACTTTTTTGAGCTCCATTTAATTTTCAAAATGTTAGGGGTGTTAAAATATATTAGGAGAAGGGTGGAGCTAAATCCACAACTATTAATCTAAATCCATACCCTTACAACCAAGTTGACCAAAAACCCCCTAACATTTATGGGGCTTGCCGGCTTGGTAGAAACTTTTTCAGCAAAAAATTAGTCTTTTTTTTTTTTGTGAAAATAGATGGTGCCAGTTTGAATTTAAACTTTTACATCAGTATGAATAATTTTAAAATTTTTGAAATTTTTAATTCACTTTGATGGCATTAATTCTTTCATCTTATTTGGGTGTGGAGAATGTTTTTAACTCTTTTTATCATATAAGAAAAGATGAAAGATTTTTTTAATTGTGTTAATAAAATATTTTTACCTTTTTGGGATGTTGCACTTCAAAATTAATTTAAGTATAACTAGTTTCTTTTCCATTTACACAAGCACTTTTTTATGTTCTATGATTTTTATTTTTTTTGAACAAAAACTATTCTAAAAGAACTTAAAATGCTATTTTATTAAATGAGAAAACAAACATAGTTTGCAATTATAGATCCTTCCCAATAAGGAAGTAAAAAAGGAAGGGAATTAATAATTACCAAAAAATAGAAAAAGAATAAAAAAGTTAAAGAACACAAACATTAAAGACATCCACTTAACAAAAAGATAGATAGTTCACTTGACCGAAGGTTAGACTAACCAACTTAACAACCTATCAAAATCATAACTAAATATTATACAGACACGCACACAATTTTAGAAAACACTAGCAAATCAAATAATTAGAATGATGATATTAAACAATTTCAATAAACTAAAATTTATAATTAATTTTTAAACCTCTCTTGTTGTATGAAAGATGAGTTTTTGTATTGAAAAATGTTTTTTTTGTCAAACTTCTATGGATTTTATTGTCATCTTAATATTAGGAGTGCTGATTTAACTCCACCATTAGGAGAAATCTCAAGGGATCTGTTATTATCCAATATAATATGCTATGGTGCATTAATTATGTACCCGTTAGCGTTACAACTTATAAAATGTGTAAATGTTAAGAGTATCTAAAGGTTTGAATTAAGCTCCTTTCAACTTATCAGACTTATATTAATAAGGTTTAAGCTACTAAAGCAGCCGGTGATCTCTAGTCTAAGTTCCATTCTATGAATGGTTAGTCTAACCAAAAATACCAGAAAAAGGAACGTTCGCACAACCGCGTACGTATATTTGTATGTATGTTGACAATTCAAATTTATAGCTCCACAAAGTTTACCAGTCCAAGTTCTTACATGGTGGCTGACATATTCTCCCAATCAGCATAGAGTTTAGGGACAATTTTAGAAACCTCTCCTGAAATTTTTGATAATTACAGCCATCACCCTTAAAATTTTAAAAATTACACTTACCCCCTTAATGCTATGAAAAGACTATGTTAACCTTCACAAAATTTATAAATTTTAAGTGAAAATAAGTTTAAAAGAGAAAAATAGAAATTCTTTTTTGGTAATAATTCTTTATCGTAAAACTCTAACGTTATCTAATCTAGTAGTTATACTGCATTTCTAACTTTTTTGACTAGAATTATAAATCAATATACAAAAAGTCAACCAACTAATTAGGAGACATTTGTTTTGTTAAAATAAGTTTATTAAAAAATTACTTAATCAAAAAATATTTCCAAAGTACCAAAAAGAATGCTTTCAAAATATGGTTTAAATTTTCCAATAAAAGAATAACTTGAAATTTTCACCTAATGAATAATGGTGATAATTAATATTTCAGCATTTAATTTGTTTTATATATCAGAGATGGGTAATATTGGATATTCATTAGATTTTTTTGCGTATATCACCAATTATCACAAGATATACGTTTTAGGGGAGGTTTTCACAAATTTTCAAATCTTAATGGAGGTAACTGAAATTATTAGAAATTTCCGAGGAGGTTTCTGAAATTATTCCAAAAGTTTAACTGGCTTACAGCTGTGAGCTATTCAGCATTTCATTAAAGAAAAGAAAGAATCCTAAAAGATGTTTAACAAAATCCCATCATATAAAGCGGGAAATCAAACTTATAATTACATTAAAGCCCCCCTAAACTTTTAAACAAGAATCCACTTGAAGTGACAATTAGTACCCATTTTCCTTCTTTATATTTATAGTACCCGTCCAATTTTTGGCTCAGATCTTTTAAAGATTGATAATATTCACTATTATTCTGATTTGGCACTTAAGAATTTTTCTTGAAATAATTATTGGGGCATGCTCTAAACTTGGTAAAAAAATCAAACCATCTCTCTCCACAAGGCATTAATAAGCATTTTTACTGTAAACATGTAATTTTACCGCCATTTCTTAGCTACAATGATATGATTAAATTTAATATTTGCATCATGAACTATGCAAAAATATGTTAGGTAAATTATGCAAAAGGTCAATCTCAAAGTTTGTTGGATTACTATAAGCCAAATTTGTTTAGTAAAAAAAATAAATAAATCAGGCTTTGAAGATGAATGTTGTTGCAAAAAAGTTAAAAATCACACTAGCAGTTTAGAGAAGACTTGGGACATCCAAATTGCGCAAATCTTTATGCTATGACAATAAAAAATGATATTTAGATTCTAAACGTTCCCAAGAACCCCTATCCTAGATGCTTTAAAATACCTAACGAGTTCAACAAATTTGAAAGATGAAAAGAGAATTTTATTTAAATGGTTAGCTATACACTTTAAAGATGGGGAATGTAATTTGCCTTTATCAATAATCATGGAAGAAGGGCCAAGAACGATTATTAGTATAGTCCTTCCAAATTATCAGCAGCAAACTTAATTAAAAATTTAAAGTCTAAGAAAATGTACGAGCATGATACCATGAACTATATTCTTTTCATGCGATATGTATGTATAAATCCTATATCTAATATTGTAAATTAACATTTAAATACAAAATAGTTTGCAACTATAAACATACAATTTATACTCCATTGAACACATTATTGTATTCTAAACTATTTAAAGTCATTGTAATTTTTTTTTTGTCGATACGATAGCTTCCTATATTATGGGGAGGGAGAGGGTCTGAAGAAGTCCTATGATAAATCGGAGGACTGAACCACCACCGGATCAGACGATGCATTACACACTTGTCTGAATTTTTTAAGTAAGGGCACATTTAATTATAACAAATTGACGGGAAATAAGATTTTTTATCTCACCGAGCCTTAATGTATCGGTGGTCTCTGGTGACGTCTGAGGCAGTTGTACGGACGATGGACGCAGTAAGCATAACTAGAAGTCTAGAAGTACTGCTGTAACAGTAGTAGTGTACATGAACAAAAAGGTCAAAATAAGAGTCCCAAATGAATAATTAAAAAAAGTTCCTGCGTAAACGGTGCGCTGTCTCCCTCTTCACCCTCCAACAGCTCCCCTTCTCTCTTTATTTTTCATTTTTCCTCTCTATCAATTATTCCTGAATTCCCATTTCAAACCAATTTCTTCATTGTCAGCTCCTTTTTCTTCTCCTTTCCTTCCCAGAAGGAGCTCGCGTCTCTTCCCTTCCGCCTCCTCTCTCTCTAGATCTGACGTATATTCCTTGTCCGACGTCGTTTGGAGGCCCCCAAGCTCCCGATCCTAAGGTGATTTTCTCTATTTGTTGTTGCAATTCGATCAATTATATTTAATTTGTTAGCTATTTAGATCGCTGATTTCTTCCACCCCCTTTTTTTTTTCATTGGATCCCATTGTCATAGTTCTCCGCGAGATCCATTTGGTTTGGGCATATATATTGCAAGTAGCTACGGTATTGATTTTTGTTGATCGATATTGCAAGTAGCTTCATTTTTTTTTCGAAATATTAGGGTTTTGTTTGCTTTTTTTTTTGTCCCTAGATCATGCGTTTATTTATTTTCTTTAAGTTTTTGATCCGTTGTCTTTTCTTGTTTAATTTTAGAAGTGATGATATTGATTCTTGAAAATTCAGTTTAATACTAATAATCTTGGAAGAATCTTTGGATAGTAGAAGAAATTGGAAGTAAGAGTTTGATAAATGTGATCGACGTTTGCTTACTGAGTGAATATTAGTGCAATTGGAGCAATATAAAATTGTTTTGATTATTGAATATCTTCCTCTTCTTTCTGGTGAAAGAAATTGGGTTTTGGATTATTGTTTCCAGTTTGAAATGTGTATTTAACTATGGATACATTGTTAGTTTGGTTCATTGTAATTTGCTTTGTTTATGATTCTATTTGATTTTGTATATTGCTTTGATGGAGAAGTATATTCGCATGGTTACAAGTGAACAACTTTCATTTCTTTCAGGAAAAAGTGAGAAAGATCCAAACTTTTCTTCAGAAAGGGATTTGCCACCAAAGCTGAAGTTGAAATGAAGAAGGCCTTTGATCAAACTGTCCGGGACATGTGAGCTTTATTTTGAACAGACTATCTTTATTTGTGTTCATCACTATTTGTTTTAGGTGTTGTATAATGCTGTTTAGATGTAAGATTGATCTGTTGGTTTGAGATTTCTCTTCCACTATGATATTGAGCATGCTGATTGATCTGTGTGATTTCTATGTGTTGCAGTAAGAGGGAGGTGAATAAGAAAGTTCTTAAGGTCCCTTCAATAGAACAAAAGGTAACTTGACTATCTTTTGAGCTACGTGGCAAGCTGAGAAGTTTTCTGTGCATCTTGATTTGTGTATTGCATACTCATTACTTAAATGAAGACTATTGGTTTGATAACCTTGTGATTGGTTATAGAAATTGCTACTTAAGTTTATGGGAGTTTTCTTTTTCATGATTGTAGTCATGGAATACATGGACTCTCTGCTTTCTTCCTGTATATGTTTCTCTTTTGTTTAAGCTGTAAAATTGATAGTTGTAACTGTTAATTTTTATTCTTTTTTCATTGAAGTTTGTGAATCTGGAAAATAACCTTTTAATTTTTCATAACTGCCATTTGTACAACCATATGCAACTCAGTCAAAGTAAATTGTTTATCACCAGCTGTGTCCATGCTGGTCTGCTGGTTTATGAGTGCTGTAGTTCTGAAAGACTAGATCCAATAGGAAAAAGAAAAAACTTTATCACTTATGAACTTGTAACCAAGAAATTTTCTTTGGTTCTTGTATCTTTCAGGTGCTTGATGCTACCAGCAATGAGCCATGGGGTCCTCATGGAACACTTCTTGCTGATATTGCTCAGGCTTCCAGAAATTAGTAAGATTAGATTATCATCCTTTTTCATTGGATGATATTCAGTCAACAGTTACCATTCTAATTTGCATTTCCTTTTCGACAGTCATGAGTACCAAATGATTATGTCCGTTATCTGGAAGCGTATCAATGATACTGGTAAAAACTGGCGGCATGTCTACAAGGTACCTATTAGTCGGGATGTGTTTTTGCAGTTCAATGTCTTTGGAAGGTTCATGTCTTGCGGATGCCAAATGCATCTGGATAGCATAGCTTGAGTTTGTCTTTAGTCTACTGTGGGTTCGACCTCCACTCCCTAAGGGATGTTGCTGCATTAAGTTCCTATTGATTCTGTGGAGTCAGATCAATTCTCAATGCTTTTTTTATTCTCTGGATTTGGAACTCAAGAATCTAATTTTATGTTCAGGCTTTGACAGTTTTGGAGTACTTGGTCGCCCATGGGTCAGAGCGTGTGATAGATGAGATCAGAGAACATGCCTATCAAATACAGGTGAATTTCTTGTCATTTTGGTCCAGAGACTGCAGCTGTAATATGTTATCCAGATCATTGTGGTGAGAGTTTTTTGACCTCTATTACATGATGTTATTCCTCATTTTCTCTTGTACTAGACACTATCCGATTTTCAATATATCGATTCTAGCGGGAAGGATCAAGGCAGCAATGTCAGAAAGAAATCTCAGAGTCTTGTAGTTCTGGTAAATGATAAGGATAGAATACAAGAAGCTCGACAGAAAGCTGCTGCAAACAGGGAGAAGTAAGTATTAGTTGCATATTTCTGGTAACTTAAACAAAAATAGAAATGTTAGTCTTTCTTGCCTTAAATTTAATTTAGTTTTCCCACCACCAATTCCTTATACAGGAATACTGATAGTTTTTTATGAGTTCTTCTGATCTAGACTCTTATTATCTAATATTCCTTTTGGTTTTACGGGGAGAAAGTCTTACCTTTTTTTATCTCGTAATGAGGTAGCAGTTTGCTTGTCAAGGAGAGCAGATAATATTCGAATAAGCGAGATCTGGAGAGAAGAATAAGATGTGACAGACTTTATTCTTGTTTAATCCAAAATTGTTTATCCTTGCTTGTTATTTCTGTGCTAGCCTTGGTTGTAGTTTTCAAATTTCTGTTAACTGAATTTATTGTACATGCTAAGATTGGTGGATGCCTCCTGAAACTTTCTGAAAACAGAAACTTTTTGCTCAAAGTATAGCTTGTGAATCGGTTTTTAAGTTCCTGGCCTAAGTAGTGGTATTTTATTAGGTACCGTAACACGTCAGCAGGAGGTATGTATCGGCCTGGTTCATATTCAAGTGCAGGAGGATATGGTGAAAGGTATGATGATGATCGGTATGATGGCCGATATGGAAACAGAGATGAAGAGCGGAATGGATACGGGAGAGAGAGAGAATGGGGTTCTAGAGATGATGACCGATATGGTAGGTATGGGGACCCATATGGCCGTGATGGGGACAGGTACAGCAGAGATGATGACCGCTCTAGCCGAGATGGCTACAGGGATGATGATTATCGTGGAAGAAGTCGAAGTGTTGATGATTATCAATATGGCTCCAGGAGCAGAAGCTCTGACAGAGATCGTGACCGCGCTTATGAAGAAGATGGTCAATATTCTTCCAGGTTTGTCTACTCTTGGTTTCGTTAGTTATGCTAACATAACAAGTGATTTATTTTTTTAATTACCCTTATCATTATGTATTTCTTGGTTTAGTATTTCCCCTAGGGAGCAGAACTAATTAATATAAAATCCATGTTTGCGCATAATGGATTTGTTTATCTAAAATGGAAGTTTGTGAAGGAAAAATGGTCCCTTGCTTGTATGTTAAAAGTCTTTGCTAGATGAAACTTACTACCTTCTCTCCACTCTGGCATTTGTCTCACTTTGAATTTCTCAAACGGTGCATGTTTGTTGACAGTCTTTTCTTTATTCATATTTATGCCAAAACTAAGTTCTTCTGAATTAAATTTAAGGGGCCTTTTGAATGAGATTATTACAATTACTTGACTAGCATATGTGTAACTTGCATTATTAATGCATGAATCTTTGCACCCCTGGATGCATTTAGCTGCTTTCCTTCATTGCTTAGTCTCTTGTTTTTCTTTTCTTCTCCTCGCCCTTTTGTTCCTTTTATTGGTGGTCCATAAGATATAACTAAAAGTCAACTTCTCTGATAGCAGAGGAAATGGTGCCAGGCCAGATGATCAGTCTCAGGATGGAAGGTAATGGTACTAACCAGCAAAAATGTGTGAGAATCTAGTTGTTTTCATGAAGTCCGAGTTCATTCTTCTCTCTTTGATTATGTTTTAAATTCAGTTATGGTGGAAGGCATCTCGAGAGGAAATATTCTGAGCAAAACCTTAGCGCTCCTCCTAGTTATGAGGAGGCTGTCAGTGTTGGGCGCAGCCCTACCCATAGTGACCGGTGAGTCCATGCTTTCTTAATCCTTGATTTAATTCGAATTGGATAACTGTTATGGTCCTAATGTCTTAATTGCCCAAAGGGATGGAGAAATTCCTTCGGCAGCTGCACCTAAATCATCTTCTCCGCCTGCAAGTGTGATGCCGAATCAACCAGCCAATAATCTTCCTCCACAGCCTGCCCCTGCTTCACCTCCGCCACCACCTTCAGTTACTGATCAGAAGCAAGATGATGGTTTTGATGAGTTTGATCCTCGTGGCTCATTTTCAGGTAAACTGTTCAGATAGGATACAATTGCAGCATCCATGTCTTTAAGTCGATGGCAGTTACTTTATCTAAACTTCTCTAGTTTTCATGAATTGTTTGTTAATTTATTTGCTTGCAAAGAATCTCTATGTAAAAAGAATCAGATTAATCTTTTTTAGTTTGATTTCTCTTAGGATTGTGCTATTGTGGCTGATCAAGGAGTTAAGGAGTACTGATTTCTTAGGATACATATATTTCTTTAGATTAAAACTATCCGAAGGTAGTTTTTTCTGCATTTAGGCATTTCACTATTTGGGTGACTGTTAGATCTTCCTTGTCAAGTATGCCTTTAATAATGAGCAATAAGAGATGCACTTATTAAAATACATTTTCATGTACCTGACAATTTCCTTCATTGATTAGGCTATGACAATGTATTTCCAGACAGTTCTTATGTTCTTAGATTGCACATTATCGGGTCTTGCTCTAAGGCAATAAATTCAAATTATTAGAAATTGTTGTTGTACATTATTATGCATTCTGGCCCAGTGCATTTTTTCCTTCTTCTTTTTGTCTAAATGCTTGTGTACTGTGATTTTTTTTAATAGAAATTGACATCATATATTACTATGCATTCTGGTCTGGTGCATTTTTCCTTCATCTTTTTGTCTAAATGCTTGCGCATAGTGATTGTTTAGCTGGAATGAATTGTTTAAGGAAAATTTGTACTTTTAAGTAGTCTTCCAGAATTGCACTCTACTACTAAATCCTTGCATGGATGGGAAAAGAAGGAAAAGTGAAATTCAAAATGTAATCTGCAGAAGTGTTTCCCAAACCCAGTCTGTTCTTATAACAATTTTATTTTTGCTTGTAAATTGGAGTATTTGACTATTTGTCTTTTATATAAGAGAAGGATTTAACTCTTCTTTTGGGTTATTTGTTTATTTTCTGTAGCAGCTGCTCCAACTACATCAAATGTCACTGTTCCAACTGGTGGTGGTGGTGCAGAACTGGACTTGCTTGGCTCCTTGTCTGATTCATTTTCTGCCAACTCATTGGCTCTTGTGCCAACTACTGCTTTTGCTGCAACTACTGAAGATATGCATGTAAACCCTGGATCTGGGCCCACTTTTGTGGCACCTACATCAGCATCATCCGTCTCTAATCAGGTAGTTGTATTAGTTAGAACTGCTGTACCCTCTTTGAGACTTTACCGGGTCATACTATGTCCAGTTGGTCAATAATAGAGCCAATTAGTCAAACTGTTGGCCTAGTTTATGAATTTTTTGAGGGGCACAAAAACTGATATTTGGCATCTTTAGCGACTAAGCTTGTTTCCAGTTAGGCCTCATCAGACCTTGAATTTTTGTGGATTTGGTTTAACCAAAATGTGGGCTTGAAGAACATTTTAGTCACTTTCTAAAATTTGTCAAAATGAGGTCTAGCATTATTTGTCAGTATCATCCACAAGTCTTTAATCTAAAAAGGTGCCTTCTTTGCAGGCATTTGATGATCCTTTTGGTGATGGCCCATTTAAGGCTATGGCTTCCAGTGATGATTTACCTGCTCAGCCCCAAAATGTTGCTCCGACTTTTGCTACTACCGCAAACCAAAGTACAGAACAACCTCAGCTTGTTCCGGAGAAGACACAGCCTATTAATAACTTTGGAGGCTCATTTCCTGTTGGTTCCAACATGCAATATTCTCCCCAGGAGTTGTCCACTTCTAATCAGGACATTGACATATTAGCAGATATCCTCCCTCCAACTGGTCCTCAACCTGTTGCAAACCCAGAGACAGCGTATACAACTCCAACTGGACAACCTTCTTTCACGGCAGGTTTTCCTCCTCAAATCAGCCAAACTGCATCACAAGCTGGTTTCCCACCTCAAACTGGTCCAGGTGTGCCACAAACAAATCTCCAAGTTCAACCGGGGCAGGTGGCATCACTGACAAGTTATCCTGCTCTACCTGGCCAACCTTCAATGCAATCAGGTTTTCCCGTTCAGTCTGGTCAACTCGTTCCACAGTCAAATTTTCTTGCTCAGATGCCTCAATCTGGTCAACCTGCACCCGTTGCTGGTTTTCAACCTCAGATGGGTGCTTCTCCACAGCAAAATCCTAATTCCTACGGGAATTATAATCCACAACTGGGATCTGCCATTCCAGTTGCCATGCAGATGTCTACACAGCAGAATTCTATGAACTTCCCTTCACAATTGGGTTCTGCTGCCCCCGTGTCCTCACAAGCATCATCTCAATCTCTGCAATTTCAATCAACTACCTCTCTGGTCTCGCAACCTGTGCTTTCAGTGTCAACAGGGTCTGCTGCTGCGGCTCCTCAACCAGCAAAAGATAAGTTTGAGACGAAATCTACCGTTTGGGCTGATACCCTTAGCCGTGGGCTGGTCAATTTGAATATTTCTGGACGTAAGTTCTCATAATGTCTCCTGGTATTTTTGCATGTGACATGGATTAAAACTTGTTTGAACTTGATTTTTTAACTACATGTTTTTGGTTGGTTTGCAGCTAAGACAAATCCTTTAGCTGATATTGGAGTTGATTTTGAGGCCATAAATCGCAAGGAAAAGAGGATGGAAAAACCTACAACTGCTCCTGCGGTATCAAATATTACAATGGGCAAAGCAATGGGTTCGGGTTCTGGTATTGGACGTGCTGGTGCAGGTGCACTCAGGGCCCCACCAAACACAATGATGGGTTCAGGTATGGGAATGGGTATGGGTGGTGGGCTAGGCCCTGGTATTGGCATGGGAGGTTATGGATCAGTCAACCAACCAATGGGAGGTGGTATGGGAATGAATATGCCCATGGGAATGAACATGGGTATGGGGCAAGGTGGCCAGATGCAACGGCCAATGGGATTTGCTCCTGGATCTAATGTCCCTGGGGGCTATAATCCCATGATGGGAATGGGTAATTATGGTCAACAACCGTATGGTGGTGGCTACCGGTAAATTTTCATGTACCGCCAATGAGATATAGGGTATATAGTAAAAGAGCATGTTTTGTATAAGATCAGAAGTTCAGCCACGGTACAACTATTGATTCTGGAACTGCATTTGAAGTTCAAAGCTATATTGTTGGCATTTACTTTGTAATTTTTCTGGATAGTGCAGTGTAACATATATGTTTATTCATTCTCAACAGTATCAGTAGATTGTTTCTCAGCTCTGATACTATTTTTTGGATTACAATGGAGTTGCTTAGGTCCAACGGTCGTGTAGATGTTGTGATATGTATACCGAGGACAACCTTCTCAGGTTGTTAAGAACATCTCATTTTGATATAATTTTGTGACTTTCCGATTGAGTTTGTAAACTCGCGAACAATAAAATTCACATTCATCCCAATTCATTTTAATGCACTGTGTTTTCTGCTCAAGATCATGGTGTATTTGGTAGGATTTTAGTAATTTCTTCCTCCGACTTAACGTGCTTTTGCCTGTTAGCCCAGCGTATTAATTACTTGTATATTGGCATGAAATGTACATCACTCAATGATTGTTTCAGTCTGGAAGTTGATATTCACTTGTACGAGAAAAAGGAGGAAAAGGGGTAATAGAATGGAACGTCTGGTACGAGAAAAATGTTATTTGTTGACAACAGCCTTTACCAAGATCGTCATGCGTGGAAAAAGCCAGTCATAGCAGTCAGATGTGTACATATATATAGGATGCATGCATGTTGTTTCACTGGTTCATGTTCCATTGTTCATTTTAAACTTTGGAGTCTGGACTTGGCTAGGTGCAGTTATGTAATTTACAAGAACTAGTATACGTTTGGACAGAGAGCTTTTTTTTAAAAAAATTTTTTTCTTGAAAGCTTTTTTTTAGTCAAAAATAGTATTGCATATTAAGATAAGCAAACACAGAATTTTTCCCCTTTTTTTTAGTAAAAAATAGCTGAGGTTGAATACTTGTAGAGAATTATCACTCACTGATACATTTTATGCCCCACATACTGCCCACAACCTTTTATTACAATTTACAAGCACCATACACTAGCCCAAGCTAACTCAAAAGACTTCATGACTAGCTCCCAGTTTATCCTGTACTTTTGAATGCCTCTCCAAAAATTAACTACATATCTAGTCTGGTAATAAGACCAGATAAAGCATACAGCGTCTGGTAAGGCCAGCCTCAACAGATTACCAGCAAAGGTGCAACAAAATGTAACATCCAATCCAGCTCTTAACAAGACCTCTAAATCAACAAAGATTGGGATTGAAGCTTTTAATCCCTCTTCTACGGCATTTGGGCTTCAACAAAGATTGAGCCCTCAAGCCATCTCCAACACCAGCTCAGCTCATGCTTTTTCAATGTTAAGCCAGAAAAAGGTTGATTTAGGTATTCAGCCATCAGAGAGAGAGACAGAGAATTCATCCAGTACAACACGTCTAAGACCACAAAGATGGAATCTCAATATCCATATTCGCCAACATAACAAAAATTTTGATGTGACCGAACAACAATAAAAGTATTACAGTTATAAACCAAAAAGAAACAGAACCGGGAAACAAAGAGAGCACGAAATATTCATCTACTCAGACATCGTACAAGCCAACATCAACAATTTGCTATCTTTAACCTCAATCTCGCCTACCTGTGAATCAACAAGCATTGAGTGAATCTAAGAACCAGCCATCAATATTTTTATAAGCAACCTCAGAAAAAGAAATTGAGAGGAAAGATCTGAACCTTTTAGGCATGTTAAAAACTAATCACTCATTCAAAAAGATTGCAGTGGGATTTCCAGGGGAGGGTGGATTCTGCCTCAGAAGTGAGGCATGAGGGCCAGCCCTTTGAATGACACCAGGGTCCTCTGCAGACAAAATCTGCACATTATCAAGACCTAACTGCCGCCTAATCAGGTCTGAATTTGTCCTGAGGACCTCAATCTCACCAAAAGGCAGCTTCAGGTCCAATGCTTGAATGCCGACTGCCATAACCTCATCCTTCTTGAACCTCAGAAAGGGCATGCAAAGCTTCTGTATTTGTTTAAAGTTACCTTCCTGCCCAATAGCACTTCTCTGCAATTCAGATATTACCTCCTGATCAGGAGCAAATTTGCAGGTAACACTATCATAATTTCTCTGGAGTATGATTAAACATTCCTTCTTCCATCCATCATACTGCTCATTCACAAATATCAGGCCAGTGTTTGGCTTATTCTGACTGTTTAATATGTTTGCATTGCCTTTCTTTGAACCAGAAACCTGCTTCTGCAACAGCTTCCTCATTGAGACTATTGAGTCTTGCAAATACTTATTTGCCTTTTTGAGGACAAGATCTGGAAAATCAGCTTCAGGCAATCCAGCTTTTATTACAAACCCTTCCTTCTTCAGAATTTCCCTCCAAACATGTTCAGAATAGTGTGGGCAGATCGGAGCAATAAGCCGAGTTTGAACATCCATAAAGCGCCATAATAGACTGCGGTTCATACCTTCAACACCACAGGAGAGCCGGTATTCATCTCTGGCAGCCTGAAGATCATAGAAGCCTGTTTTTAAAGCTTCGCGGAACATGTAATCACCATAATTCTTCTCTGTCATCTTCACAGCAATATTTATTTCATTATCAAATACTTTATCTGCGTATGTAGAAGGTGGACCGCTTCTCAAAGAATCTTCTGCAGCAAGAACCTCTTGCATCCATGATAACTCCTTTGTGAGACGTAAGATTGCAGCATTAGCTGTGTCAAAGACAAAGTTGGCGTCATCCATGCCATCACCAGCATCAGCAAGTGAAAATCTTGTAGCATCAGCTGAAAACTCTTCAATAGCTTGGCGGAGTGTCCTAAAGTTTCCAGTGGACTTGGACATCTTTTCAGAATTCAGCATTATGTGTCCATTGCATCTAAAACCACGAGGCCAAAGATTTGTGGGAAAGATTGCAGTATGATTATAGATGCAAAAAGTAAGATGATTCTGAATGAGATCCTTTCCAGAAACCCTTAGATCAAATGGATACCAATACTCAAACTCTTGCTTCATCTGATTAAGAAGAGAAGAAGATATATCTGAAGACTTAGGATACGGACCACCACAAAATACGAAATCCCACACCTCATCAGTCAGCTGCTCTGGCTTTAATGAGGAAGTATCATTACCATACATATCCCCTTTCTGAAACAGATGACATACAGTATAGTATGCCATATATATAGTGGAATCTGACAAAGACTCCACGAGAAAGTCCTCATCCCAAGGAATACGAGTCCCAAGTCCAAAATTACGTGAACAAGCCCACTGATTCAGCCAGCTCAAAGTATGCTCAAAACCATGCCGTGTCTCATCCGAGTAAAGATTCATGTTCGCCAAGCACTCCTCTGCTAATTTCTTCCATTCTTGTTCTCCATAAATGATGTACCACTGATCAGTCAAAGCAACAACACACTCATCCCCTGACCTTGACATGACCTTCTTTTCCGGCTCGCTGTAGCTCACTGCTTCATTACTCTCAAGAAGCTTGCTCCTGATCAAACTCTTTGCTTCTTGGACCTTCATTCCTGCATAATTGCCGACAATCATAGTACCCTCATAGAAACCACCCTTGTAGATTATTTTCTTGGCCTCATCAAGCTTTTCTCTCTCATTCTGACTTTTTATTTTTTTCTCTATACAAATTCTCTCAGCAGATTTATCTCCAAAGTCTGGATGGTTGATTATAGGTATTATCTCAAAAGGTAAAACCCACTCGTCCTTTACCCCAAACTTAGCTCTAAAAGCTGGCTTTGACTTCAAGTCCTGGAGTGCCATGTAATCATCGGGTGAATCACTAGGCACGCTGGTAACAATCCCAGTACCTTTTTCAGTGAGAACTGAGAGCATTGGCAAAGCGTATATCATGTCATTGAAAGCCAATGGAGACCTCAGTGGTAGCCCAATGATATCTTGTCCCGTCAATTCAACTAAACAGGTTGGCTGCTCTGCGATACGTGACAATCTCTGATATGCCAAATTAAGTGCTGCCCTCCTGGTTAAGATGAAAACCTCAGTGTCACTTATTTCAAATGCACCATATTTCCCCTCTGGCAGAACCCAGGCATTTGTTTGTCCATACATGGTTTCTGGCCTCAAAGTAGCAGCAGCAAGGTAAACTTTCTTACCTTCCAAGACACTCATCTTTGCAGGAAAAGGTGGGACAACCTCCATCTTGATCAGGGTGTACTCCTGTGGAAGAACACCTTCACCTGATGCACGATCATGATCGGCACATGGCTGACCATCTAGGGGAGAGTAAATGGTATATCTTAAATCTTTTACAATTTTCTCCATTGCTTTTAATTTCCTAAACTGCCAGCGCACAAACGAATCAAAATATGGATTCATATCAGTAGTTATAAATGTTCTCCTCCAATCGCATCCCAAGCCGAATGACTTCAAATCCTCAACAGCAAGGGGTGGGAAAAATGTCAACCAGTGATAAGGGTTCGTGAACTTTGCGATTTCTTCATCAGTCAGACCATAGCTCTGCATTATCTCCCACTGAAACTTGGCCCCACCAGATTTAGCAACAGCCTTTGACTTCTTCCCCTTAAATTTACCACCAGGTGCAGTCTGATTCCCTTCATTTTCAGCTTCAGGTTTCACTTCTGGCTCAGCAGTCTCCTCTTTTACAACAGGAAATATTGGTGGGTTCCCAAACCCATCAATTTCCCTTAAAAGTTTATCTGCTGATGCCTTGATGGGCATGCCAGTACAATGAAAAGCAAATGGCAACAAGACATTTGCACCCCTCAACCTATGATAAGCAGCAGCAAATTCAAGCTTCGAGAGGGAAAAAGCATGACCAAGGTGCAAATATCCATTCATGTATGGGAAAGGAAAGTTCCCGAAAAACTTTTCCCCAGGTTTCGGCACAGATTCTTTGGGATCAGCCCTGAACACATCACCTTCAGCCCACCACTTCTGGACCTCAGATTCAATCCCCAAGAGCTTGTCTCGGCGAGCAAAGCTTTTCCCACTTTCCTCAGCCATTATATTACTAGCAACGCTACAGAAACTGCACATAACAAATAGGACACATTAAAAAAAAATTCCCACATCTGCAAAGGTACATACTTCATCTGGAATTACTTCACAAAATTGTAAATCCTCAAAAAAAAAAGGACCCAAATTCAGCAAAACTTGGAAGCCTAGCTCCTCTAGATAAAACATAAAAAAAAAACAAGTAAATGAGAGGGCTTGATATTTCCTTTCACAATTAATTAATGAAAGCAATATCAAATCCATATTAACCATCAAAAGAAAGCCCAAAAAGTATATGCATCAGCGGTTAAAAAATAACAATACAAAGATAACCAAAACTAATAAGAAAAGACAACATCTTCGAGAGCATAGATAACACGTCTAGACCTAGA